AAAATTACATCCATATTAAATATTGGAAATTCGGTGTAGTTAACATTCTGAAATACTTAACACTATCACTTCCTCACAGTACTTCTGATGTGAAATTACTTTGAACTCACAGAATAATATTTTATTTTACAGAAACATGGCTTTTACCTTTAGTGTAGTAAGCAATAAAAATAAGAACGTCAATGCAACTTATATATAAAAACTGGAATAGCAAGATATTCGCAATGAAAAACTTAGTTTTTGAATAAAAAATAAGGTTTTTCAGGTACTTAAAACTTTGAATAAATATTTCAGATATTTTCAAAATTTGATTTGAGAAATCAAAAAATGCTTAGTTTCATAAAAGAAATTTAAAAAAATCATTTTAGATGAATCATATATATATATATATAGTGATATACATTCTAAATTTTGTATACATATTTTAATTTAAAAAAGCAAATTATGCTTATTCACAAGATTTGGGCACGTAATCATGTAAATTGTAAGCTAAATTTTCCATTAAATAATCATACTAGTTGGAAAAGTAATTTATTAAAAATAGTTCTTGACAAATTTTATAATGAAAATTTGAATGTGTTAGAACAGCTGATCATATATATATGTGTCAGTAAACCTGTATCATAATCTGATAGATTTAACTTCTTAAAATGCTACTTATAAGTGAATATATTAATACAATTTGTGAATTGATGTTACTAGTAGTTTGTCTACTTGAGCATAATATGCATAAAAAATCGAATAATAAATTTTAATATACATTGAAGTAAGAAACAAATGCGAATTTAATTTCCCTTACATGAAAACTATTCAGCTTTATTTTCAATGTATGAGATTCAGAAAATAAGTAACCATAAAATACTCTCATGCTATTGTTTTTAGCTTCATATATTGCACAAAATATTGCAAAAGAAATGTTTCTATTCTTATTACATAATTATGAAGAGCTTAAAATTAATTATTACCCCAAATTATGAATAAAGTCTAAAATCTTCAGTTAGCTTGTTACGCTTTCTATTTTTGAGAAGTTATATGCATACAAATTCCTATACATTAATCATTACAGGTGAATAAATGCTTACATATACTTTTAGACTATAACTTATTTTTATATATGCTAATTCCAAGTCTCATTTGGGAAAAATAAAGTAAATTTTAAAGTGAAATAATATGGATTATAGCTCACATGTGTAAGCTAAAAATTCATTTTTCATAATTCTGCTGAAAATTATTATGTATTTCATTTATTGATTAAATCCGAATAGGAATCATTACCATAACTGCAGAATTTATAATAATTTCAATGAACGAAGTATTTTAAATATAAGTGAAAACAAGCAATGCATGAAAAACTCTTTATTAGGAAAATATATGTACATATATATACATATATAAAAATGGAAAATATGACAATAAAATGACATTAAAAATATGAAATGTAATGGATGTACAGAATGCAATAAATTCATACTAAAACGTGTATTTAAAGAGTCCACACAAGCTCTAGGAGTGCTGACATTATACAAAAGGCTTGCCACAAAATTATAAAAATTTGTTGATGTATGTGCATATTGAACGCTAAATACAAAATTAGTTTTAAATAGAATGTCAAATGCCTTCATGGCATGATTTGGGCATGCTATTAAGTGATTTACTGCTTTAATATAGAATGAACTTGTAATACACACTATAATGGGCTGTTTATTCTGAGCTGGTCCAAGAGATTCCATGTCTTCTATTCCCTGAAAATAAATTTCTTTATTAAGAATACATCCATTACCTATCTATTAGGACAAGTCAAATACCAATGAGCCATACTAGAAAGTTTATCTTTCCAATTAAAAAATATCGCCAGAAAATTTTTCTTCTTTCAAAAATAAGTAATTCCTAGTAATTTTATCACATAGAGGTCTTTTGCTTTTAGTTTCTGTAAAAATGCAGTATAAATACATATAGGAATATGTAAATATTATATTGATGCAAATATAGAATAGGATAGTATGCATATGCTTGTGCGTTGCTTCTTAATGAAAAATGTAATAAATAATGTACATAAAAATGTAAAAAGAACAAACTATATGGAGAATTAGTCTGTCTTTTCCTTATGAAAACAAGTATCATCCCTTCATAATAAACTATTGTTGTTCATAATAACTATTGTTATTGTAAAGATGTTTGTTCTTGATTTCATGATCGCTATAGTCTGGCTGGAAGTGTATCTTTTGAATTTCACCTTGAAGCAATTTTTCCATCACTTTACAAGTTTAAAAAAAAAAAAAAAAAAAAATCTATGTTCACTGTATATACATGCATATATATGATTAGTGTCATGCTTTAGATTTAGATCATATAAAGGCATCACACATATTACAAACCATCTTATTCTCTCGAAATATTTGCTAGTATGTAGGTGACATTCAAATCAATGCAATTCCAATTCTACAGAAATTAGCTAAATGACCATGCATCATCTGTGGGTACAATAGTCGAAAGCAGCCTGAGAAGATGAATTTTAGCCACATGAGGCCAAATACATTCACTGTTGTAAAATGGCTCATTTTAATATAATCTGCCCTCTTAAAATGAAAGTTAGTGCAAAGCATATCAAAATTCCTCAATACTTACATTTAGCAAATATTAGAAGTGCAGAATTTGGATTTTTTTTTTTTTTTTTTTTCAAATAACAGCCTGATGCTAAAATACTTGCTTTGCCTTTACCCTACAAAAATAAAAATAAAAGTATATATAAAAGACATATACTGGATAAAAAATTGCATGTGAAATGTAATAATTAATTGAAACTATAAATATCACACATGAACCTTTCAAGATAGAATATGTAGCAAATTTCAAAGGATATTCAGCTCAGCTCACTTACATATAGTATCAATAACTTATTTACATATACATACACTGCAAACTAAAAATATTATCCTATGAAAAGAATTTTATAGCTACTAAGCATATGAAATTATTTTTTATGCATAGACTTATGCCAAATATTTACTCATTAATAATGAATAAAACCTTTTTCCCTCTTTCTTTCCAATAATTTTAGCTGAGCAAAAGTTCTGTGAGCAAAACTAATGCTTTTAGGTCATCTCTATATAATATATATAATTTTATACACACGTTTATTACATAATGATTACAAAAATATCATTAAAAAGGCCTTTGGCACTAGAGGCACATGCATTTACAGCTTACCTTTACGAGCCAGAAGAAAAAACTATAAGCCATTTAAGAATAAAGACCAATGTGAGTAATAGATGCAAAATTACTTTACTCTAGGTAATTAAAACAGTAAACAAAGAAAAGTTTTAAAGTATTCTATCATTTATAATCCTAATTAAATTCTATCATTTATAATCCTAGTTAAATTTTTAAAGATTTTTACCACTGAAATCAGCAATACTTGGTACCAGAAGATCAGGGCGTTTTGTTTCCACATATTTCAAAATTCTTGGGACATAAAAAGATGAAAACTGTTTTTTTAAATGTCTATCATTAGAAATTGTTTCAGTTTCGATACAATTTCTTACATGGCTATTAGACAAAACCATTTCAATTGTTTTTATGACTGAAACATACTGAAATGTTTCTTTTACAATTTTGGTTTCAAATTGACCTGTTTTTGTATTCAGAGCTTGATCCAATCTACTGCCAAGCATAATTTCGACAGGTTCGATAAAATTCTGACAGCTTTTCAAAGCCTTTATTTGTCCTTTAGTTGTGCTGACATGCCATCAAAAATCTGCCTAATGGGAAGGATGCCTCCGTGGAGGTCTTTGTAAGGCAAACTGGTTCGTATACACGTTACACATGGAGAAAACCACAAAAAAGTCCATGCAGCCAGCTCCTTCATGCGATTCAAACTCTGGACCGAACTACCAGTGCTCAGCGACTTTGCCGCTAGTGGGCATTATTTAGGGGATGTGCATTAATGTTCGGAGAAAAAGCATGATATTAAGCATTTGTTAGTTAACAGCCTGTTAAACATGGTATTTAGGGCATATAAATTAAAATGAGCGCAGGGGTAGCTAGAGGGGGCAAGGGGAGGCATCTGTCCCCTGGCGCAGGATCCAAGGGGCACCAAACTGATGTTACGGCATTTTAGAATTAAATGTTTTCCATCCTTGGCAAGCAGTAGGGGGCGCGAAATCTTCAGTTGTCCCTGGGCGCTGAAAACCCTAGCTACGACTCTGAATGAGCAGCAAGAAATATAATATTAAGCATACGTAAGTAAAATTTACATAAAGTAAATATTAGTTACTGAAATCAATTTGGCCTTCCCCCATTTTCTCAAAATTGTCCCAAAAACTGTTCCGTTAAGAAAATTTTCGGCAACATATTATCTTAGAAGGAAACATTCTTTAAACGCAATTTAATATTTCTTTGACTGTATCTCAACCATTATGCTTAATTTCATGCCGAGACAAGTACTCGAGTATGCAGTTTTGTAAATTTTCTTTGCAAACACTTTAAAATCACTTTTAGGAAACATAGCACGGAAATCAGACAAAATAATAATAAATTGAGAAAAAATGAGACATGCAAATAAATTTTGAACAGCAGCGAAAGAAAGCGAGGAGGCCGCAAGAGAATTCTACCAGCTTTGTGCTTTTGCAGCGTTTACATTTACTGGATTCTTTGCGGTAGTGTTTTCGAAGGCAGGTGGAAGGATGGTAACTTTGAACTTCTGCAGTTCATAAAATTTCAGAATGCAATTCCAAAGGATTAAAAAACACCTAAGACTGAGAAATTGTACCATACTGTCTACAAATCAGCTGATAGAGTATTAAATCAAACTTTTAGAATACTATTAATGATTTTGTGTATAGGAAAACAAACAAAATAGTACTTTACGGTATTAGAATTAATGTTTTATTTCAAAAATAAACCCAGATATTTTGTTTTTATATATATCATTTTGACATTTTATAGACCTTTTTATTGTGCACTGAGCGAGGCAGCAAGAACTCTGGCTACACCTCTAACAGTGTTCACATAACTTAGTTATTGAAAATGTAAACAAGCTGTGTTACCTGGTCTTTAAATCCTATCTAAACCAGAAAATGAATTCATATGAGTTTATTAAGAATCAGGTTACTTACATTTCTTTCCTACTTTAAAGGACTGTGGATAAGAAAAGGTTTATAAGACTTGTTTGATACAACAATAGCTTTTGCTAATGTAAACAGTTATATTATTTTGAACATTACTTCATCAGATCCTCTCTCTCATTTTAATATCACTAGGAGAAGATATGAAAAGGCAAATATGAAATGAAAAATGAAAAGGCAATAATCTTGAAAAGTAATAAGTAAATGTCATTAGTTTAACTTTCTAACTATTGAGTTGATGTATATGAATTAATCTATAAATCATTTTAGAATTATCATGTTTAAATTAGTATATATTTCGACAATTTTGAAAGTATGCCTGACAAGTTTTCTTAGAAGGGGGGGAAATAAATAAATAAAAATAACCCGTCGAATTAGGTTTTTCTCTCCCGCAATAGAAGGGAGGGGAAGCTGTTTTTTAATTGTGCATTCTATTATCTGTTAATAAAATAAGTTAATTTTTTTTAAATATGATAGGCGCTGCCACAAATATAAGGCAATATTGCTTAATTTTCATATTATAAAATAAAAATGCATCAAACATTTAGGTTTTATGGCTTACCATAAAAAAGTCGTTTTGTTTCAGTTGAAATAAAAATGTTTAGACATGTACGAATTTTACTATTTAATTAAGTCTGAAAAAAACATGCCTTACATTTTTTAAAATAAATACTGTTTTTTTAATTTTCTTATTTGCATTAAAAGAAATAAACATTTGGTGTACATATTATATATTGGCATATACGTATATTTGTCAGTAAATACATATTTAGCATAAAATAAATACATGTATATAGCATATAAAGTCAACTGAATATCTGGAATTTTCAAAAATCCGGACTCGGTATAGTTTTTAATTAAAAACAGAGTAGACCTGGAACATTTAATAATACAATAGTTTTCAGTTTGTCATCAGAAAATCAAAACTTATTTTTTTTTTTTTTTTTTAATAGCTGGGTTTTTTTTAGTCCAAAGGGGCAATTCTCCCAGAAGGACTGTTAATTTCGTTTTGGCATTTTGCATCGATTCCCGATATGTTTCATTTCAAATTGCTGCCACCAAACATTATATTTAAAGAAATTAAATAATGAAGAATCTGCATGAATGTATGTATGTTTCTCGCATTGTAATAAAACAACGGCACCTAGAGCCAACAAAATTTGAATAAGGTAATCTTCCATAGAATATGAGCATGTGGAAGCCCTAATTTGAATTTGAAATTGGTTTTATTATTTTCTTTATTATTTAATATTTTGTAATACTTCAACGAATTTTTGATTAACAAAGTAAACGATTTCAAAGCGAGCAATGGCAAGACTGCTCGTGTAAAAAAAAAAAAAAAAAAAAAAAAATATATATATATATATATATATATATATATATATATATCTCCAGCCTCCAGCTCGCGAGACTCTGTATTGGAAATTCTAAAGATATGTTCATTTTAAATTATTTTGCGATATTGCTGTTGAATGTTTTTATGGTTTAAGTGTGCGGAAGAACATGATATTTAATAAATAAAGGTAACACACAAAATGTTAAAAAAACGCCCGTTTGGACGTAATTTAAAATCTAAAATCTGAAGCTTTCAGTCTTTTTTAAAGAATGCAAGATTTTTTTTTAAATCGTAAACGGAAAGCCGTCTTATCAGCTTTATTGGCCTCCCGGACTTTTGTAGCTACACCTACACTCTCGAGAATAACAACATATTTGCAAAAATATAAGTTTTAGAATGCTGATATGACCCAGGTAGTGCTAGTATTTATATTTTGGAAAAATTCAGCTTTGCAACAGTAAGTGAATTTTATTGTCACAAACTATAAGCAGAATTTATAAAAAATGAAAATTAAAAATCTATTAAAAACTACTAGAAGCTGAAAACGATATGACTTCAATAGGAAATTCAGTAAAGTATACGGTTTTTATTTCTTCCAATACTACCAAATAATTTACACACTTGTGTTATAAAAAAAATCAAAACTTTAGTATGCATTTTTTTTTTTCCACCCACCGCTGTTCTTCCTATTTGAAATAGGAATGCATGCAAAACTAAATTTAAATAACTAAATTCGATAGCTTTGTGTAAATTGTTCAAAAATAAAAATAATGTTAAGAATTATTTACAAAAAGTACCATCCATACGTACAGCTTTCATTGTGTTAGCAGTACGTAATAAATAAAACTACGTTACAGCATTACACTCTTAAAGCAAATTTACAGACACCTAAAAAAAAGAGCAAACTAAAACTACTTTTTATTACATACTTAAATTTTGACACATAAATCTAACTATAATTTATAATAATTAAGATATTTATATTAAGAAATAATTGTATATATATTTTAAAAGCCAACTTACTTTTGGCAAAGGAGCTGTATCCATTGTTATACGACTGTCCTCGCTTGAAATGGCGCTTAGCCAAAGAATATGTATATATAGACGTTCTTTGACTTAGCAACTTGTTTGGTCAGTCTGGGTGGACAATGGCAAGACAGGGGGTCGTCCTGCTCCTTCAATTCACTCCCTTCCCCCAAGGTTATTATTGCAAGTGGGAAAACATGTTCTGCTACCAAGACAGTAAATTTGCTTTGTTTGACACGAAAACGGAGCGAAAACTGCTTCACCCTCCAAATCCCACCCTGCGAGATTTAGAGTGAAGACGGCACGGTCTCACATCCATGGACCTTATAAGAGTTCAGGCTCACATCATGCCGATGTCACGAAAAAAGGAGTTTGGTAAACATGAAGATTTCTTATATAAAAAAGCATTAAATTCTTCCTGGTTTTATAGCACCATAGGGCCCCGAGCAACTAGTGTGCTGGGGTCCTATAAGACCCACCCACTCATAAAGAAAGGAAATACAAACGGGTTAGCCTTGAACCCCTATGTTCGCGGGGGCCCCGGGCAAGCGCCGAGTGGACCACGTATTAAGACGGCCCTGAATATGGCCGCTAATTATGTAGAAAATCTTTTCATATGATGAAATGTGCAAAGAGAAATTTTATTGCTGTCAGACAACGTCGTTAGAATAGGGTGTGGAGGCAAGTTCTGCCTGTGATAGCTCTAAACAGATTCTAAGAATATCCTACTGACCATTAAGCTAACCCAATGATTCGGCCTTCCCCTTAATTGCTCGAAACAATGTTTTATCTAAGATAATAAGTTACTCATTTATAAACCCATTCTGCGTCCCATGCTCTGTTATGCAAGTCCAATTTGGGCACATGCCTGTCAACCGAACCGAAAACTTCTGAAAACTACTCAAAATTGTGTCCTACGCCAGATCCAAATGGTATATTCCTAATAATAGAATACATGGGGAACTAAGGGTAGTTCAAATAAAAACACATTATTATAATCTGGCTAAGAAATTTCATGAAAGACAGCAGCAAGTTGACAATCCTGTCATTCTTAAATACCTGGATCACGTAATTACTCATGTTTTTTTCATCTGCACAATTTTGTATCTGTATAATTTTGCTTATAAAGGAATTTTCATCTGTATAATTTTGCTTCGAGCCCAGGTACTCGCGTTTTTGACACCGTTCTAGTAGAGGGATAGCTCTGGCATTTTAGCAACCAAGATTTCCAGAATAAAACACCGGAGCCCACTTCTTGTGGTGATACATTAAGGATCGAGCAGTGGCGTAGCTAGGGTGGGTCAAAGAGGGACATCTGTCCCCGGGCGCAGCATCCAAGGGGCGCCAAATTGATGCTACGAAATTTTTTAATGAAATGTTTTCCATTCTTGGCACACAGAAAGGGGCGCAAATGTTCAGTTGTCCCCGGGCGCTGGAAACTCTAGCTGCGCCCCTGGGATCGAGTTTTGTTCTTCCCTTTAGTTGGTTGAGAACATGGACATGTTGGGGCGTGTTTGGCAAGACCTTCGTTATCGTGTTGGCATCTGTCGCGTTACAAAAGAGTCACACACAAAACATTCACAATTTAAACTTTAGCATCTTTTCGCCTAACCCTCTAGGTATACCTGACAACTCTTCCGGTTTTACAGGTAGAGTACCGGTTTTTTATCCCATCTCCCGGTAGCACACTAAATTTAAAATTTTTAGTCTTTACTAAAGAAAATGTTTCCTAGCAATAAATGAAGTTTAATGAAACTTAAATTACGCAAATTCCATTCCCCCACCCCTAGCGGTTTTCAGTAGAGATTTTCTTAATAGTTTTATTTGATTTGACTTGCCTTAATCTACTGTAGACATCTTCATAGTTTTCTTGGAAATTCAACCAATGTTTAATCAGTTAATAGATTTTTTTAATTTTGTTTACATCAATAAATGGTACATTACCAAATTTATCTTCACAACAGCATGTACACTAAATATAATTATAAGTTTTTTTTTTCGTTATATTTAAAGTATTTTATAAATAAATAAATTTCTCGGTATAAAAATGTAAGAAAAATTAGAAAATAAAGTTAATCAAAGAACTAAATTAAACAGTAATATGTTTTACTTCAGAATCATATTATAAATAATTCAAGCACTCGAATTATGCAATAAAAAATGAATTTAATTCAGTTTGGAGTTTTTTTGAAATGGCGCTGTCCCACAGCAGGAAAACCCTCCAGAAATTCCCAATTTTCACTCGAGAGTCTCGCGGTTTTTCATAGTTCAAATTTGGAAAATATTTACGATCGCCTCACTTTACGAACAAATTAACTGAACAAAAAACGTCTCGCATGACGAATGGTGTTTCGAGCTACGAACGCTCAAGTCGACAACATATGATTTTCAAAGGTGTTTTTAGGTAGCCTATGTCACATAATTAACACTCAGAAACTTCTGAAAACAGCATTTCAGCATCATTCGTTGCTTCACTCATTAATTGGCAGTAACTGACGTTCAGGACCATGAATTCTGCCTGTAGGGAATTATAGCCAGTTAGTTATACCGCTAACACTTTAACAATGAAGACGTTTTAACATTTAGGACTTTTAAGACTTAAGGTGTTATAAAACTCAACACACTTAAAACATTTAACGCGTAGGACGTTTTAACATGCAGGACACTTAAGATACTTAGGGAGTTTTAACATTTAAGGCACGTAGGATGTTTTAACGCCTAAGAAGTTTTTAAAACTTATGACGCTTAGAATTTTTAACCCTTAGGACGTTTTAAAACTTGAGATGCTTTGAACGTTTTAAAACGTAAATATTAAACACTTAAGATGTTCTAACACCTAGAACACTTAAAACATTTTAACACTTAAGCCGTTTAATGCTTAGGATACATAGGACTTTTAACGCTTGAGATGTCTTAAAACATAGGGCGCTGAGAATTTTTAACACTTTGGAAGTTTCAAGACTTAACATTTAGGACGTCTAAGGATCAACTGCGGACGTTTTTTCCTTTTTTTAGTCCAAAGCAGCAATTCGCCCAGAAGGACTATTAATTTCACTTTGTCATTTTGCGTTGATTCACTACAAGCGTTATTTTACTTTTCAAATTGTTGCCACCCAATATCATCGCCCTGTATTATATTTAAAGAAATTAAATAATAAAGAATCTGCATAAATGTAGGTATGTTTCTCGCATTGTGATAAAAAACAACCGAACCTAGAGCCATCCAGTTTTGAATGACGTGATCCTCCTGCGAATATGGACATCTGGAAGTCCAAATTTGAAATATGAATTTTGTTTTATTATCAATTTCATATTTTGTAAAATTTTAAAGAATTTTTGATTAACAAACTCAAGGATTTCAAAGCGAGCTATGGCAGCGTTGTACAGAAAACACATTTTTGTCTCCAGCGCGCGAGACTGAACACTAGATAAAGGTAACACACAAAATGTAAAAAAAAAAAAAAAAAAAAAAAAAAAAAAAAAAAAAAAAACGCCTCTTTGGATGTCATTTAAAATCTGAAAAAAACCTTTCAGATATTTTGTTGTTGATGATGATGCCAATGATATTGTGCCAAGGAAGTCAAGAATTAAGGCGTGTCAAAGTTACTAAAGGACCACAAAAATTAGGCTCAACAAAAAAGAACTGCAAACTCATTCTCTGAGCCATGAAAATTC